TAAAACTACTTGACCGAGTTTTAGCTTCCTACCCCTCCCACTTGCCATCTCATGGGTAGCTCTGGTCATTTGAGAAGAACCCCTGGATTATACACCAGCTCTAGAGTCGAGTCTACGAAGTCATGAGTGACTTAGACTGACACCCAGGGAAGGACCTGAAGAGTGTACCGAGAAGACGCATTCGACTAGGACATCATCGTGTCAACTTTGTTGGTGTATCACAACCTTCGCTATAATGCCATCATACACACCCCCGTAATCGTATTCACGACCACGCTATTAAGGACACCCCTTAGTAAAAAGTTGTTTTCACTAAAACAACATAAGTCTCTTGGGGGATTTTCGTAGCTAGACTTGGAAACTCAGATGTGATGTAATGGTGTATGGTTTGTGAGTAATTCATGCTCATTTTATTTAAATAAGATGTGATGTAATGACATTTTGCGCAGCTTATGAAGGTTGTTTTGTTGTTGTCGGTTTCATGGAAATGACTATTTTCCCAGTATGAACTCCAAATCAACAAAATGAAAATGAGAGAGAGTGCAAATATACAAGTTCTATCCATGATTAATCACTTGAGTTGATGGCCAGTTGCCGGCAGCCAAAGTAAACTTGTACCATAACACATTATGAACGACAATTATATGGCTACAATATGATATCTCCAGGTTTTAATCACACTATTAAGTATATATATCAACTTGGCAAGGTTACAACAAAAAGTATAAGGTGTAATTTGTTGGAAAATGTAGTAGAAAACAAAAAATTTATAAGACCATGAGCCCATGAACACTATTAAGACGCATAATAGGTTTAGATCGGATCGTTACCAACCTCGAGTTACAGTGGAAGAACACTTGGTGTAGATCGCTGATGAAGTCCCTCAAACCGTTCACGAACGATCCCTCGAACCAAAGATCGAAAGCATGGACTCTCTACGGATTGCAGGCATTCAGGCTTCACGATCCCGCAGCGCTTCACCGTACAGAGCTAATCGTCGTCGGAGAATTAGACGAGGGAGAAGAGAACCTCACGGCGCTTCTCTATTATGAGGATTAGACATAACTAGAACTTGTGTCCCGAAACTATTCTGAGAATATTTTCTCATAACTCTCACTCCACTAACACTCAAAAGATCGTTATTCCCTTAAGCATGTGACCCTGTAGGTTCAGTAAAATATAGATATGAAGGAAACTCCCTTTCGCTCAATGATCAATAATGTAACCGTGGACATTCATATTGAAACCTATGAATACACGAATGATGTGCGAGTGAACCTTTGGTTATCATATGCTATTCCCTTTGCTTCACGACGCTTTATAAATCCCGGGGTGAGATGTATCCGTATTCTCTTGAGTCATTCTCATGCTCACTATACTAGTCTACTCATTATCAGTTTTGTTCTTCTTTCTCGTTGACATGTTCCGGCATCGTTGTTACCTAGTCACCTGTGTCTGACCAAAAGATGGTGGGTGTCATCACACCGAGAGGGCCCTAAGAATATCTCTCCATTGTTGGATGAGGAAATCACACTCTTGAGCTATCCAACCCCTTGTCAAACTTACCAAGGAACCTGTAAGTTCTCCTTATGATAATCGTGTTATAGCTGACGTTTGAGCATCTCAAAGTTCATCGTTCAGTAAGAAGCGGCTACGATACTCTCATGGTCTAAGAAACTAAAGCATACGTTAACTCTCTGTGGTATATCAATAGACTTCTGACACAATTCAATATGATCGTTCTTTTAACGTCATACTCTCAATGTTGTTTTGGGACTATTGTTACACTTAACGATATCCCAAGATCCGAAAAGCATGATCAACATACAATACTTGAGCTAGTCCTAGGGCGAGACTAGGAATCAGATTTTACTGTTTGTCCTTCCACACATGCACGTTTATGAGTTTTCCACCGAATCACACATTTCAAGATCATAGCAGTTATAGCATAGAATATGAACTCTTAATTATAAAAGTGAAAATAGATAATACAATATTATTGCCTCTAGGGCATATTTCCAACATAATCTTATGGTAGGCAATTGTACATTGTATCGTATGCAAAGCACTATGAGTGCATATATAATACTTTTCCAAAAGAAAGTTGCACGAGTATCATAAGGTAACAAAACATAATAGTCTTGCTATTTTATGACCCGCGAGACCTCCCTTCGGAAAATTATAAGGCACTCAATTATTTATATATCCTTGGAGCACACAACAATCCACAACATATATTAGAGCATTTGGGAGCACAACCTTACGGGTAGACCTCAATGACAGCTCGAGCTCCAACTTTCTTGAAAATCTTATATTCGCTGAAACCTGCTTTCATGAAGATGTCGCTCCAGTCCTTTTCATCCCGCTGCCGGCCTCTCGTCATCACCAGCTTCAACATATCCACCAGGTGATGGGTTTCCAGCATCAGCCCCGAAGCCGAGCTAAGCACAATATCTATCACAATGACTTTTCCTCCTGCACCTCGGGGAGGAATGGCCTTCTTGCATTGTGCCAAGATCTTGATGCAATCCTCGTCGCTCCACAAGTGCAGAACAGACTACCATGCACAGATAAACTTCTGTAAGGTTAATCAAAACTAGCAAGAAAATATACCTTGAATTTAATTGTTACTTCAAACAGAACAACTAATCATTTTTGGTCGGCGTTCTCTATTGGGTTTCACCCATGGATCATGAACACACGCATGAAACACTAAACATTGGAGGCCACAATGACATGGCGGCTTTATCGTGCAAAGGTCATTGCAAGATTCCATGTTGCCTGTTGATATCATGCACCCCCATCACAATCTTGCGAGCGTGCGACTAGAAACCAAATCCAATGACATATACTGGATCGTGCTACATGCATGACTACATGGAGAACGTTCGTTCGCTTACGACCAGCTACGTAAGTCCTAATCTGACTCAAACTCGACCAATTTAACTAGCAGTCCCTCTGTTTCTTTGTCTACTTCACATATTAGATTTGTCTTTGAATCAAACTTTGTAAACAGTTTAATAAAATTCATATAGAATATATCAACGCTCACAACACCAAATAAGTACAATATGAAAATATACTACTCCTTCTGTACACTAATATAAGGCTTTTTCGATCATTATTTTAATGACCTAAAATGTCTTATATTAGTTTACAGAGGTAGTACATGATATATCTAATAATACTGATTTGGTATTATAAATTTAATACATTTTTCTATAAGTTTGGCCTAACTTTAAAATGTGTAACTTAAGGAAAACCTAATATATGAGCATGTGGGACGAGATGGAAGATGGCACATTCATAAATACCTTGAGCAACACAGCTTGAGCAGGCGGGACGACGTGGAAGATGTCACCAGCAACATGCTTAACCACACCTTCAGCCGGAGCTTTGTCGATGACCTTTGGCAGGTCAAGCACAGTGCACTTGATGTGCGGATAGGCCCTGACGATGGCCCTCGCCGTCGTGCCATCACCACCGCACAAGTCAGTCAGAGACTCAAGTCCCTGAAACAGGTCATGGCACTGCCGGAGCACAAGACCGATCCCCATATGGTTATGGGAAGCCTTGGCCTCGTGGACCAGCTTATCCATCTCCGGGTCCAGGAGCGCCATGCTGTCGTCGAAGATGGTCGCGCCGTGCAAGTCCTCGAACGGCGAAGGCACCGGCCCGTCAAAGTCCTTCCGGAACCAGTCCGCCAGCCCGAATGCCGCCTCCACGTAGTACCGCGAGGAGGCCACACGCACGATGGCCGTCTGGCATGCGTCGCCGTCGATGTGGACGCCATCCACCAGGAGGTACGATATCGGGTTGAGGCGGTACGTCGTCCCCGCGTCGGTGGTGTCGAAGACGCCCGCCGTGGCCAGCTGATACAGCAGGCGGCCGAGGAACGACAGCTTGGACTGGGGCAGAGACAGCGCGGCGATCAGGTCGGGGGGCGACGCGGTGCCGCCAAGGCCGTGGATGGCCGTGGGGATGCCTAGCTCGACGGCGCATCGGAGCGCCATGGGCGTGAGGTAGCACAGGGTGTGGCGCCACAGGTCGGCCTGCGCCTTGAGCAGCTCAGCGTCGGTGGGGACGGCCATCTTCTCGGTCTGAGCTGCCATGATCGTATATCTCTCTCTTAGACGGTTAGACCTCAGTGCTGTGTTGTGCTCGTGCACTTGTGCTAATTATATAGGGGGTCGGGGGACTGACCTATACATATAGCATGTGTTGGCTGTCCTGTTCTTTTTTCTCGTGGAACACGAGGATGATAGGGACATAGGGTAGAGCGTATAGGGGAAGGCCCCTTAATTCCGCCTGTCTGCTGAAGAGTAACTAAGACATCTCATAGCGGAATAATCGTAAAAGCGAATACGTATGTGCACACAGGCACAGTGTTTTGGATGGATGTAGACACATGGACTCCTCGTGATCAAAATACGACCCATGGACTTGTGAATGGATGTGGACACATGCACCTAAATGCATCTCCAGCCGCGCCTTCAACAGCCTCTCAAAGCCATTTTTTAACGCCCACGCCCACAAATCGACTCAGTCGTGTCTCAGAGGCCCAAATTTTCACCGGTTAGGGCCGAAACTGGCGCCGGCGGACTCAGGCCGAACCCGGCGCGCTGGGGGCGTCCGAGGACGCCGGTCAATCGTTTTTTTGGCGCGAAAGAACGGCGGGCCGGCCGAGTCAGCGACCCTCGCGCCTCATCGCCTCGGTTTTCCACGGGGAATCAATGCCAAGGCTGTCGCCTGTCAGCCTTCCATTGATTCCTCACGGACGACGCGGTGAGGCGACGCGCCCCCTCCCGCCATGCGTACACACGACGCCGCCCCCCTGCCGCTATATAAGCCGCCACTGCCTCGCCGGTGAACGCACCCCGCCCGCAGCTCCCCTCTCTCCCCGTGCACGTACAGCCGCCGCCGCCGCAGAACTCTCTTTTCCTCTCTCCCCGTGCACGCACAGACGACGAAAGGTTCCCCGGCAACGGGGCGGCGGCTAATGGCTTCAGCCGCCGCTCTCTGAACGAGTGGGAAGCCCATCTCCTCCACGAAGTGAACTACCCGGTGCCTCCCGACATGCGCGCGCTGGGTCGGTGGAGGCTCAGCGCCGGGGGCATCCCCATCCCCCCGCTGCCCGACGTCGAGCACCCCCACTACTTTCAGGCCGAGATCGACCGTGTGCGGGCATCTCTGTCGGAGGAGGAGTGAGCCCTCCCGAAGTACGACACTGACAACCACGAGGCGTGGGCGGAGTACTTCGAACGCCAGCAGGCGGAGCGGCTGGCCTTCATCAACAACGCGCCACTGGTGAGGGGGCGCAACAACAGCGACGGCTGCCGCCTGTGGTGGGGCGCCCCTGGCCGCACGCTACACACGCCGTCCTCGAGTACCTCAAGGGCAGCAATGATCCTCCGCTGACGTACCCGGCCGCCCCAGTGCCCCGCCGGAGTTGCGGTCCATGGCTGCCGAGGAGGATGCTGGGGGGGTCCTCCTCCTCCCACTCCTCCTCCCATTCCTCCGGGTCGCCGGCGCTCTTAAGCGTCAAGACCGAGCCCATGGAAACGCCGCTCGGCCCGGCGTAACCACGGCGTCGTCATGAACGAGGGCAGCGGCAATTCCTCAGGTCCAGCCTCCCGCCTCATGGGGCCGCTCGGCCCCGTGAAGCGCGATCACAATGACGAGGCCGCCTTCGACGACGACGGCGGCATGAAGTGGGCGTGACGAGGGAGGCGTCGCGACGACGATGTGCTGCCGCCGGCCAAACCAGTCCGCCAGAGGAGGGGGCAGGGGTCAGCAGGGACAGCCGTTTGAAGGAGGAGAAGGAGGACGACGACAGTGGCGACTTCGGCGTGTTCAGCGAGTTCTTCGGCCTGTAGGCGCAGCCGTTTTTTCCCTTCTTTTTAGTAGATTTATTATATGTTTCTTTATGTAAAAAAATTGTGAACCGCCTAAATATCGCCGAATATATGCCGTGTTTGCCGAAATTTGCCCAATTATGTTTTTAAAAAGATTAGAAAAGAGCGTCTGGGTAGCCGATCGCCCCATGCCGAAAATATCGCCGGTTCGTTCCCAAACGGCGCTTTTTTCTAGC